TATTGACTATGCAAAAGCATTCAATTGTGTGGATCATAACAAATTATGGATAACTTTGGGAAGAATGGGAATTCTAGAACGCTTAATTGTGCTCATGTGGAGCCTGTACATAGACCAAGACGCAGCTGTTCGAACAGAATAAGGGGATACTGAGTGGTTTAAAATCAGGAAAGATGTGCATCAGGGTTGTATCCTTTCACTATACTTATTCAATCTGTATGCTGAGTAAATAATCTCATAAGCTGAACTATATGAAGAAGAATGTGGTATCAGGATTGGAGGAAGACTCATTAACCTGCAATATGGAGATGATACGACCTTACCTGCTGAAAGTCAAGAGGACTTGAAGCACCGACTGATGAAGATCAAAGACTACAGACTTCAGTGTGGATTACACCTCAACATAAAGAAAGCGTAAATTCTTACAACTAGACTAACAAGGGACATCATGATAAACGGACAAAATATTGAAGTTGTCAAGGATTTCATTTTACTTGGATTCACAGTCAACACCCATGGAAGCAGCAGTGAAGAAATCAAATGACACATTGCATTGGGCAAATCTGCTGCAAAAGACCTCTTTAAAGTATTAAAAAACAAAGATATCACTTTTGACTAAGGTGTGCCTTGACCCAAGCCATGGTGTTTTCCATCACCTCATATGCATGTGAAAGCTGGACAATGAATGAGGAAGACTGAAGAAAAATGGATGTCTTTGAATTATGGTGTTGGTGGAGAACATTGACTATATACCATGGACTGGCAGAAGAATGAACAAATCTGTATTTGAAGTACAGCCAGAATGCACCTTAGAAGCAAGGATGGCAAGTTTCGTCTCAAGTACTTTGGATATGTTATCAGAAGGGACCTGTCCCTGGAGAAGGACATCATGCTTGGTAAAGTAGAAGGTCAGTGAAAAAGAGGAAGACCCTCAATGAGATGGATTGACATGGTGGCTGCAACAATGGGCTCAAGCATAACAATGATTGTGAGGATGGCGCAGGACCGGGCAGTGTTTTATTACTGTTGTACATAGGGTCGCTATGAGTCGGAACCGACTTGATGGCACCTAAGAACAGCAGCAGCACTGTAAGTATTTACCATGTACCAAGTCAAAAGATATTTTGAAAGATTAGACATCTTCTATCCCTTTAAGCATCATTAGGCAGTGATGTCAAGACAGGTTGCTAGTAGTGGAGGAAGAGGGTCCTCATGTTTGGGAAGAAATCAGAGGAGTAAAATAAATGGAAGAGCTAAAGTATTTTCATAATATTGGCTTGAGAGTAAAGAATATTCAGGTAAAACACCCAGGACCATGGGTCTGCCATCCCATCTATCAGGAAACTGAAATATGGATTAGAAGAATGAAAAAGTTGGGCATTGCCTTACTGTGCTTGTCTTAGTCTGGGTTCTCTAGAGAAGCAAAACCAGTAAAAGTGTGTATATACATACACACACACACACACACACACACATATGTATAGAGACATTTATCTCAAGGAAACAGCTCACATGGTTGTAGAGGCTGGCAAGTTCCAACTCTTGAGGCTCAGGCTTCAGGCTGGAGGCTTCTCCTGACTCACGTAGCTGTAGTGGCTGAAGAAACAAAGATCTACAGATTGGATGGTAGGCTGCTGGCCCAAGTCCCAAGAACTGGAGGTCAGATGTGGAATGCATGACGAGTGGAATGCAGGATCTATAGCAAGGCAAAAGCCAGCGAGCTTTGCCAGAAAGTCTACATATACTGGATGCAAGCCACACCTCAAGGAAACTCCCTGTCAATTGATCGGCTGCTCATAGCAGATCTCATCATGGAGGTGATTATATCTCATCATGGAGGTGATTACATCATTATATGGCTGCCAAACTACATCATAACTGCCCAACCACTGAGAATCATGGGCCCGCCAAGTTGACACACAACCTTAACCATCACAGTGATCATGTGTAAAATAAAGAGCTGAAGCTACAGAACCCTGTGTATTGTGGAATCAGCTGAACTCCTCAGGGAATCTGGGATGGCATTCCAAACTATGCTGAGTTGAGTGAACTGATAAAGGCTACTGAAACCTGAAGCATACAGGTTACTGTTTTCCCAGAGCCACACCCACACTGGGAGTTGGAGTTTGATGAATTGTAGAAAAGCCTGTAAGTAGGGAGAAAAAATTCATATTTAAACTGTTTTGGACTGCAAGGTGCTATTGTTATAACCTTTTGGGATGAAAATGGAAAATGAAATTTTGTCATCATAGCTCTGTAAGGTCGTTATTTTTGCCCTGCATGAAAATCACAGCAGACAAACGCAATTGATGGTGTCATCCTCGGATACCTATAATCTTGACCACTCTCAGGACTGATCACTCTCAGGACTGATCAGTAGTTGCCAGGAATCGCTCAAACAAAATTATAGTAATTGTAAGCACAAAACAGTTCTTTTGCTTACTTCCACTAACTCCTGGGTTGCAGATTTGTCCACACTATACTGACATGGTATGTTTGGTGCCGATAGAAGTGCCGCATCGGCACATCTAACTTTTGGGTTGCCCTTTCAATGTTGAAGAAGTGGGCAGCAGGCTATTTTTGATTTAAATCCTAGGCTGTGGCAAAACATTAACAATTGAGATAAATTTAAAAATGATATTAAAAAGACGTATGATATTGAGGTCTTACTAGTAGCTAAAATCGATTTCAAATTTAATGATTAAGTTTTGCTGACCAAATAAAGATCATACCAAATTGGTCAAGGAGAAATAAATATGTATTAAAACTCTCCATTCTTTCTGGAAACAAAGGCACATCACAAAGACACACACTAAGAAATTGCTGATACTTTTTTTCTCTTTAAAGTAGTTTTTTCTTGTCTTTTTCTCTTTAAACAGAAGTTAAAAATAAATTTTAAAAATTAAAATGAGATATGCAATTTAAATATCATATTAATTTGCACATTTCCCCCAGTATTTCAACTCTACAGTGGTGCTATGGAGAGAATTATGTTTTTGTATTCTAATATAGTGTCATCCTCAGCAGACTTGATTATGTATTTCTGCAGAACAGACATCACTTTTAAGTGTGTGAGTGGAGAATTGAACAGGAGAAGCACTGTTGATTGTTCTGGATGTTTTTATTTGGAGAGACTTCAGATCTTTGTGAGTTGTAGGTGTTAATATTCAGTGTGTCACATATTTATGCCATTTCAACAAATAATGAAAGAACTCTATGTACACTTCTGAAAATGAATACATGTCTATTCTTAAAAATTGCCTTAGGATACTTTTTTGGATTAAATATATAAACATACATTCATTGTACATAATATTAGAGATTTCACTTCTTTTCAAAAACATCTATGATCAGGTGAAATGATGCCCTTTGAGTTAATAAGAAATAACTATTAAAAATGTATACTCATTGATTTCATGCCGAACACATGCATTTTGTGAGTCAAATTCTTAGTTAAGCCCAATGACTTCTTACATGCTATCAGGCCTAATGCTGTATTTCAAACGACAGGTGAAGGAGTCAGGGTAGGGGTTATAGGCATAGGTTTTGGAGATAAATGGAGTTAAGTGGATTCAAATCCTAGCTTTTCTAATATCAGACTTGGGACTTCAGGCAAGTTACAGTAACCTCTCAAGTCTATTTCCTCACAAGTAAAATGGGGGATAACATCTACTTTATTGTGGTGTTGTTAGAATTCAATGAAGTATGAAAAGTACTTAGCCTGTAGTACTCCACACATAGTAAATGTTCAATAGGTAGCTACTTCCAAGACAGGCTTATATGTAGTTTTTCTTAATAATAATTCATCAATTTTGTGATGTATTCACCTTCAGTGGGAAGGAAGCCCGTTTATCCTGCCTTCGAAGAATTCTAAATGGGAAGGTGTCTTTGCGTGTCAACAAGGTTCTGGCACAGATATGGTGATTTTGATTCAATGCAGAGTTATAAATTAAAGGGCCATCTCCTTACCTCCATAACCCCCTTTCCTCTACCACAGCTTTCCTCCAAGTATTCTGGGAACCCTTTCTGCAGAAGACGCAAGACCTGGCTTTTGGTAGAACTCTGACGCCAACTCAGCGTGCATCTCTTTACTAAACCCAACACTAGTAAGGACGTGTTTCAAGGACCAAAAAAAAAAAAAAAAAAAGTAGGTTATTTACTGACTTTCTGAAGTTTAAAAAAAAAAAAGGAGGAAAGATAAAGCCAGTCTTGTTTCTTTAATCACGCTCCAAATTACTGATTTCAATTTGGTCGAAGGACCTTAACTGTCAGAAAATGTGGGCCAAGCTCGTTCTAATATTCAGCCAAAGAATAAAGAAGCTGACACAAAAACTCAAAGGAAATCACTACTCTTGCAAAACAAAAGATAAAGGATGTAAAGTATCATAATTCACACGGGCAACATGCTTGATACTCCCAGCCCAGCACCAGGCTTTCCACATCTCCTTGACATCAATGAGCTGTACGTAAAGCAGTTTTGCTGAAGGGTGTAAAGAAAACACTTAAATGTAAAACTTATTCCCTGATCCTCAAGCTTACAACTTCGCTAGAGAGCTTAGCTGCGTAACTAACACTCGAGGGCGGTCAATGAAACGTGACAAATCACTTGCCAGGGGTCGTGAAAGGAGGAATTCACAGTTAGGGATCATTCGGGACTGGGGGGCTTGTCAAGGAAGACTATAAGAGGTGGGATGTAAGCTAGGTGCTAAGAGACAGGCGGGAAACGGCGTTTCTGGCGAAGGACTCAAGGCTGGGCACGTTGGGGTAGTGCGGTGGACGGACCGCTCGACCCTTCCTCGGGCCACTGCGCGTGCGCAGGCCAACGCTCGCGCCGGGCGCGCGGCCCGCGGGAAGCCAGCCAGGGCCCGCGAGCGCGAGACCCCGCGCACCAAGGCGGGAAAAGGGTCGCGCATGCGTCACTCTGCGCTTCGAGCTCGCCAGGATGGGGAAAGGAGGGTGGAGTTTCCAAGAGGGAACTTGACCCGTTAGCAGCCGCGGTCATGGCGGCACGTTCACCGCCCTCGCCGCTCCCTCCGCCCCAGGCGCGACAGTCGGGCCCCTGGTCCCCGCATGTTGGGCAGGAAGTCAAGGTCCATGCAGTGTGCAGCGAGGCCTTGGGTCTTGCAGGCGCTGCACGGGAGGTCGTCGCGGGCAAAAGGGATGTCCCCTGGCGGGGTGAAGAGGGATCGGGGGGCCGGCGAGGGGGCGCGGCGGCGGCTCAGGCTCCCCTCCTCAGCGCGCCCATGGCGTCCGGGCGGCTTGAGGGCATCTCGGTAGAGGAGGCGATGGCGACCCGGACGCAGCTGCTGGAGGAAGAGCTGAGCAGCCTAAAGGAGGAGCTGGCTCTGTGTCAGGTATCGAGGGTCCTCGCCGCCGGCCTTTCCCCTCTTCTGCGGGCCGGGGCCAGCGGGAGCGCGCCCCTCTCCCTCCTGCCTCCGCTGCGCCGTTCGCGGATGTGGGACCCACCCAGCCCCGCCCGGCGACGCACCCGTCGGCTCCCACACCCAGCCCGACCAGCTCCCGGGTGCCCGACCCGGGGCTTCCGCTCCTCTCTGGACACGGCCCGGCAGGGTTCGTCTCCGCGCCCCGCGTTTGATTTTCTTCACTTGGATATCACCGAAACGCCAACCCCCCCCCCAAAAAAAAACCCAAGTTCGCGAGGGTGACTGTAGTGGTACCTGGTGCAGCTGGAGTGGAGTGCATTCCACGAGTTGAAAATGTTGAACGGGAAAGCGTCAACACTTTCGTTAAAATAAAATCCATCGTTGAAGGAGCCTGTTTTTAATTTTCAAACTCAAACTTCCTCTTGTTCTTACAAAGCCAAACCTAAGTTGGAAACACAGATCTGAAATTTTTAGGGAGTCTGGGGCTGGGAACTTGCACACACAATAAATGATGCTTGATATTAACCAGTTAGAATAATTCCTTAGTCCTTGAGTGAGAAATCTCATTTTCAGGTATTCTTGCCGGTGAAGAACATTTCCTAAACCAATTGTGTTATATTTGTTTCCTGCAGTTGTGAACAGATTGTGAGGATGAGCTTCACTGTACTCTCACATTCAGAGAGATTTAATTTTCCCTAATTTTGCATCCTTACCACCTCTGCTCTGATTTCACCAGAACCGTTAGGCAGGTGTGGGAGATTAAATGTTGGGCACTCACTCAGCAATCAGGATCTTTGAGTCATTCTGTTTTCAAGATAGAAACCAGTTAGGAACTACTAGATACGGAGGTAACTTTGTGAACATTAGCACTAATTTAGGTTAATAAAACAATTCATGAACTCCTTTCTCATAATTTGTTTTGCTGTACTCTTTTGCCTCTTAGGCAGGTCTTTGCTCACTGAGTTAAGGCTGTAAAAATTGGGTAATCTTGTTGGAATTTGAACATGTCTGCATGAACAAGTTGCTTTTACCATTTTCTGTTCTTTATTGGTTAAGGAGCAAAGGGAGAAATAAAAGATACCAATGAATGAAAACATTTTATCTGCACACCTCATCCTTAGGAAGTTTAAGGATATGAACCCATGATAAAGTCCTTTGTTACTTTCACAAATCCTAATCTAAACTATGTAGCCATATCTTCTACACTGTGCCCCCTAGCTCTGTATTTCCCATAGTTTACGCATACAGGGTCAAGATTCAAAGATACTTTTAACGAATGACTTGGTTAAAGAAGTCAATCTGTTGGAAACAACCCAATGACCTCCATATGTGTTTAAAATTGGGGCTGTAAACATGCTTGTAGGCGTTGACATTGGATAGATATGGACTAGGGAAGATGATTGAAGTGATCTAGGCAGATGTACAAATAGCGATATGGTCATGGTTAGCCTAGATTTTTCTTGAGATTTTTGTAATTGACACTGACAGATAATCATAGGCATTCCAGTAAAGAAAGATGAGATTGGCAGTATCCCATGCCATAAAACTTGGAGTCACACCATACTTCTGCTCTTACGAAACTTGAGAGAAACAATAATAGAACTCCCAAGTGTTTTGTAAAAAGGTATTTAAGTAACTAAGCATTCAGTTTTATATCTTTTCTATTGTTTCTTCCTCTCGCTTATTCTGTTAAAAACCACAGTAACAAGAATACATAGTATTAATGCTTTGTTTTTCAATCCATTTAAAATCTGCAACCCACAGTAAAAAATTAGTTGTACATCTCAACTTAGTAAACACATAATTTCAGGAAGATTATCCTAACAATGTGTCATGAACGCTGATACTTTCTTTTCAACTCTGTTCGTAAAACAATGTTCAATGTTCAGATCCTGTAGAATAATTTCACAAACCAGCAATGGATCAAAACCTACAGTTTGGGAAAATAAAAACAAACCTAATTAGTCTATGGTCACAAGTAGTAACTTTAGTTTGGTTATTGCCACATTTAACTCACTGGTATTCAAATTATATGTGCTCATTGATTCCATCGACCATTCCCTTCAATTGGAATACCTGAGAATAAGCATGTAATAGAAAACAATCTGCTATACCCCCACCTCCCCAAGTGTTTCTCTTAATATAAACTTCCCATCTCAGTCTTTGATTGCAGTATTAAACATTTTTTTATGACTCTCAGATCAGCAAGCAAACTACATAATGCCTGACTGAAGCATTACTTTCAATCTTGGGATTTACTGAGTATACTAGGTCAATTTCCAAATGTAGATGTTACCTAAGGAATTATCAAGGGTACTCAAAAGAGTCATTTTGAATATGTGACGTTTTTGCCTTATACCTTGGTTTTAGAACCTAAATCCATCATACTCTTAATTTTGATATTTGAAAAATGTTTTCTACTTGCGACAAAGTATGCTGGATATGGGTGCATGGGGTGAATGAATGCATACTTACCAACATTTGTAGAATACCAGATGAGGAAAAAGAACGCTATGTTTATATAGTATATAGTCAGCTCATTTTCTTTTTTTGGTAGCATCCAAAAATATTTACGAAATCTGTAAACCAATTTCAGTAACAAATTATTTAGAGCATTTAAATGAAATACATGACCATTATTACAATTTTAATGATGAAACTAACTTTTATGAAGCACGTGATGTTGGAGTTGAGACTATGACCAGAGAACTCAGCCACTTATATTTTATCTTAGAAATTTAGGTATGTTGAAGCGTTGGCCAGTAATTCACAGAAATTTTCTTGAGAAGATTACTACATAATTGGATCCCTCTGTTGTTGTTAGTAGCTGTATTCTATTAGATGAATTGTACAATTTTAGGAATTATTTTTCCTAATAATAATTTACCGAGTGAATACTTCGTGACTCTGTAATTCCTTCCATGGTTGTCCGTAGGTTGTGATAGATACGTAATTTGTTTAAATGTAGGAGATAGTTTTCATATGTTTGTTGAGGTCAGTTGGGAACCTACTTTGTTGCTGGGAACTAAACTAGGTGTCAGTGACAAAAGCAATCTTGGGTGTCTGTGTTTGTATAGCTAATACATATTCCCACGCCAAGTGACAAGGGAAAGACAAAGCCAATCCATTGCTAAGGTAATTAAGACTCCAGTAAGACCCCAATTACCTATTACTGTGTCAACCATTTCCTAGACTGAGCTTAGTATTAACTTTGTGAGAAGGGGTGGAAATTGTAATTTTAAATTATTTGATTCTACAATAAGTTCTACAGTGAAAATATCACATGCAAGTAAAATTTTGCTGCAGGTAATTCAAAAATGGCTGCAGCAGTACATCGTCAGGGAGCTTCAGAAATTCAAGCTGGATTCACAAGAGGATGTGGAATGAGGGATATCATTGCTGATGTTGGATGGATCTTAGCTGAAAGCAGAGAATATCAGAAGGATGATTGCCTGTGTTTTATTGACTATGCCAAAGAATTCGACTGTGTGGATCATGAAAAATTAGGATAACACTGCAAAGAATGGGAATTCCAGAACAGTTGACTGTGCTCATGCAGAACCTGTACAAAGACCAAGAGGTGGTTGTTTGAACAGAACAAGGAGATACTGTGTTGTTTAAAGTCAGGAAAGGTATGCGTCAGGATTGTATCCTTTCACCATACTTATTCAGTCTGTATGCTGAGCAGATAATCCAAGAAGCTGGACTATACGAAGAAGAATGCAGTATCAGGATTGGTGGAAGACTCATTAACAGCCAGTGATATGCAGATGATACAACCTTGCTTGCTGAAAGTGAAGAGGACTTGAAGCATTTACTGATGAAGATCAAAGACTACAGCCTTCAGTATGGATTACATCTCAACATAAAGAAAACAAAAATCCTCACAACTGAACCAATCAGCAACATCATGATAAGCGGAGAATAGATTGAAGTTGTCAAGGATTTCATTTTACTTGGTCCTCAGTCAACATCCATGGAAGCAGCAGTCAAGAAATCAAAAGATGCATTGCATTGGGCAAATCTGCTGCAAAAGACCTCTTTAAAGTGTTGAAAAGCAAAGATACCACCTTGAAACTAAGGTGCACCTGACCCAAGCCATGGTGTTTTCAGTTGCCTCATATGCAGGCAAAAGCTGGAAGATGAATGAGGAAGACTGGAGAAGAATGGATGCAGCTGAATTATGGTGTTGGCGAAGAATACTGAATTGACTATGGACTGCCAGAAGAACGAACAAATCTGTCTTAGAAGAAGTACAGATAGAATGCTCCTTAGAAGTGAGAATGGCGAGACTTCGTCTCACTTACTTTGGACATGTTATTAGAAGTGACCAGTCCCTGGAGAAGGACATCATGCTTGGTAAAGTAGAGGGTCAGCAAAAAAGAGAAAGACTGTCAATGAGATGATTGACACAGTGGCTGCAGTAACAGGCTCACATATAGCAAAGATTGTGAGGATGGCGCCGGACTGGGCAGTGTTTCATTCTGTTGTACATAGGGTTGCTATGAGTTGGAACTAACTTGATGGCACCTAACAACAACATAATGAAAATAAAGAATTTTATAATTAATGTTTTAAATTAGTATTTTAAAAAGTTTTTTTTAATTAAATTTTTTTAAAAAAAACGTGCTTAAAGAAAGTTGGTAAATACAGGAACAATTTGTTAACTAGTTATTTTTTGTGGCTTTATTTTTCATATATGATAGAAGGTCTTTTTAGTAATTAGCAGTATAATTCATATTGCAGATAATATAGCGTTTAAATAACTAAAAACTTATAAAAACATACATGCAAAGTCCACAATCCAGTCATAGGATTTTATTGCCCATAAAAGAACTTCTTTTCAAATCACCACGTATCACTTACACATTTGAGTGTTTTAAGGTGACAAAGAAAGCCTGAATAGCTTCACAGCGACCCTGTAGGACAGAGTGGAACTGCCCCAAAGGGTTTCCAAGGAGTGCCTGGTGGATTCGAACCTTTATTGTTAGCAGCCGTAGCTCTTAACCACTACGCCACCAGGGTTTCCAGGTGACTATAGATTAAAAAAATAAATTGATAAGTAATATTTAAACTAAAGAAACTTGGCAATTAGAAAGTTCTTCCCTAAATGACTTGTGGGTATAAATTATAATTACCAAATATTGTTAATAGTGTTTCTGGAGGAGTATTTTCTCAAGTTTCTTTTTTCTCTAGCCTCTGTGTTAAAAACAACCCAAGGAGAAAAAACTGTTATGTTCTGTTTGGTAATGGTTGAAGAGGATATGTGCAATAACAATAAAAACAAAAAGGACAGAAGACAGAAACATTTTTTCTTCAGATATTTACAGGTTTCTCACTATATCCCTCTCACTGTGCAAGAGCTAAATGCTACTCTTTATTAGTAAGCCTTACTTGTTTGAGCTAAAGTAACTTAGTTCTTTAATAAATGCTGAAAACCTCTTTTTTTACATTTTTAGTTATATTAACCTCTCTTGCTTAGTATTTAGGTGGTGGTGGTGGTTGTGTGCCGTTGTGTCGGTTCCAACTCATAGGACCCTATAGGACAGGGTAGAACTGCCCCATAGGGTTTCCGAGGAGCGACTGGTGGATTCAAACTGCTGACCTTTAGGTTAGGAGCCTAAGCACTTATCCACTTCCCCACCAGGACTCCAGTATTTAGATAGAGAAGTTAAAGTGAAAATACATGAGAATTTTTGCTATTTTGTTTTAAAACAAGCTATAAGAAGAATTTTTAGAGAACACTGATTTCAAAGGATTTCATAATTTAATCAGCTTACCTTTTAAAAATAGAGATACCAGAGCACGTAATATTGCATAGCTTGCCTTTTCCTAACCTTCACTGCTTTTTGAGTAGGTTGTGACATTTGGTTTATATATTGACACTGCTTGTCCTTAAATAATTTTAAAACTCAAAAGCTGAATTTTTGCTTCTAAAGTAATAAGATAATGCACAGTATATAAGAATAGTTAGGTAAGGTAGTGCTGTCTAGTATTTAGGCTGTGAAGTCTTTTTTTTTTTTAAAGATCAAAGATTAAATAGTAAAAAAAAACAGAAGTTCCAAAACAGCATATGGTAAATATATTTATAATTTTTGAGTAGAGAAGGTCTTTGTAACTGGTACATAATATCCTTAAGCCATATGGAAACAATAGATAAATTTGAGTGTATAAACTTAATAATTACATTTTGCAAAAAAGAATCCCCCATCGTAAATTAAATGAACAGAAACAGCCTGGGAAAAATACTTGTGACATTTTGGTAGACATAGGTTTAATTTTAAGATTTCCTAGAAGCTTCACATATCACTTCTTGTATTTCATCAGCTGAACTCAGTCATATAGCCCACAAAGCAAGAGTGGCTGGGAAACAATTTTTTTCAGTTGGGCAGCAAAGAGCCAAAATGATTTCTGTTACGAAAAGGAAGGGGAAATGGATGGTGGAGACAGATACAAATAATGCTTTCTGCCACACAAGTAAAATCAACAAACAAATACAGTATTAGAAAAAGAAATGTACCTTGAAAAAAGATGAAACAGGGTAATTGGTGACTATTATAAATATAGTAGTTAGGGAAGTCTTCTCTGAGGAAGTGATATTTAAGCAAATACCTGAATGAAGGGAAGAAATAAGCTACATGAATAATCTGATGGATGGTATATTACATGCAAAGGTTCTGATACAAATAGAGCAAGAAAGTCAGTGTGAACAGAAGGGAGAGTGATAGATGTGATAGATGAGGTTGAAGAAGTATGCAAGGGGCCGGAGAGTGTGGGTTCTTGTAGCCTTCCTAAAGAGTTTGGATTATTTTCCTAGTCTGATGGGAACTTTTTGGAGGGTTTTGAACTGTAAAGAGGGCAGGGGATCATTGAAGAATGCCAGGCAAAAGATAGAGGTGACTTGGACTAGGACGATAGTGGTGGAGGTAGTAACAAGAAGTGGTAAGAACTGGGGTATATTTTATAGATAAGGCCAATAGGACTTACTAATGATTTGGGTTTGAAGTGTGAGAAAAGGAGAACAGCCAAGATTGACTCCTAGATTTTAGGTCTTTGAACAACTGAATAGATAGTGGTGACATTTTCTGTGAAGCAGAGGGTCAGGTTGTGGGAGGGTAGGGAATGAAGAGTTTTGTTTTGGATGAGTTAAATTTGAGATGCCTATTAGGCATCCAAGTGGAATTGTCTAGTAGGCAGTCTGGAGCTCGTTTATGGAGATATAAATGTGGGAGTCATCAGTGTAGAGTTTGTGTATAAAACCGTGGGAGTGGATGAGATCAGCTAGGGCAGTGGTTCTCAACGCTGAGTGCACAGAATCACCTGGGAGCTTTTAAAAAATACTGATGCTTCAGCGTTTTTTCTGAGACCAGTGAAATCAGAATCTCTAGAGCATCACTGGAGCCCTGGTGGCGCTGTGGTTAAGGAGTTGGCTGCTAACCAAAAGCTTGGCAGTTTGAATCCGCCAGCCACTGCTTGAAAACCCTGTGGGGCAGTTTTACTCTGCCCTCTAGGGTCGCTGTGAGTCGGAATCAGCTTGATGGTGATGGGTTTGGTTTTTTTTGGTTAGAGCATCAGTATTTTTTTAAAGCTCCCAGAAGTGATTCTTAACAGTCATCTGGGGTGGATAACCAACAACCTAGGGAACAAGAACCGAAGTTGTCTGTTGCATTTGGCAATATGGCGGGCCTTGACAAATTATTTTAGCATAATGGTGGGGAGGAAAATCTGGCTGGAGGAGGTTATAGAGTCAATGGGAGGTGAGGAAGTAGAGGGTGATTTTGCTGAAAAGGGAAGCTGAAAAATGGAGCAGTGTATGAGGGCAGTATCTTTTTAGAGCAAATTTACTTTGATATTCAGCATTTAATATTTCAAACATTTGCACCCTAAAATGCGGGTGGTAGAAATAGTATAAGTGAATGAAGATTACTAGTCTAAAACTTTTTAAAATAGAATTTCCTATTATACTTTTCAAGAATCTTTTGTTACAGCAGTAGTTACAAGGATCTTGAAATTATGTTTTTTCATTTACTTATTTGATGTAGTATTCTGTCTTGTCTGATAAAACTCAAAGCAGTACACTTAAAATGTCTTTTATTCCTTTAAGGCTGATAAAGAATTTGTTTGGTCTTTGTGGAAACGTCTCCAGGTGACAAACCCAGATCTCACACAAGCAGTCAGTTTGGTTGTGGAAAGGTGAGCTCCCAAGTTATTTCTTCATGAGTATTTGGTTCGTTGAATTTGTTTCTCTTCAGGATTTAGCACTTTGCATTAATGCCTTAGATTCATTTGATTTCCAAATAAGAACATTTTGTGGAGCATGATATTATTACTGGTATTGGATTTATATCAAGGGGTGCCAGTTTACTGAGTGAGTACAGGTTGGCTGTGTCTTGTGCTTGTAACCTGTAAAACTGTGCCTTCCACAGTGGTTTTTTTGTGTGTATATAAGTGTGTGTGCTTATCTTGAGCAGTTCCAGCTCAGCTTTAAAAACTGGAGAAGTCCCTGTTGTTTAGCTTCTTACTCCATAGACTGCCCCGGTAGGAAACTTCATAGACATGATACGCTCAGTTTTCCCTAAGATAATTGCAGTATGTACTTGAAAGTCTGGATTGACCTTGCCAGAGTGGGGAAAGTGCCCTGGAATAGGTTGAGGGATTTCTCTTATCACTGCATATTACTCTGTAGGGGATACCCAGTCATTTACTGTAGATTATTGGGTCTCTTCTTGGTCATTAGAAACAGTGGAGTGATGCTGGGTACTCCTTATCAAACATTCAGTATACGGTTGTCCCCTGACACTTAGCACAGCCATTAAAACACTTGCTTTCCTATTAAATGGAATTCATTACATTTTCTAAATGAGAAGCTAAGCATATGGATACGTTTTCCTTTTTTTTTGCTTTATTGGAATCATGATTATATAATCTGAATATCATTTTTGAGAACTTGAACTACAATACTGTTTGGAATCTCTAGCTCTGGGATCATTCCAGTATTGTCTGGAATTTGACTTTTTAAAATCTATTCTGTGTGCCTGACTTTGTCAAGTTTTATCATCCTTGGTTATTGTGAACTCTTAATATAGTATAAATCAGTTTCTTCTCAGGTTGCTTGTTTATCTAATTCATCAGTCTTTTCCTTTTGATGATAAGAATTGAGTCTTTTGTAGAAGTATCCTGTTATTGTCTCAGTCATCTTTGAGATGAAATGTGGTTTAACTCTTAGGCTTATTTTTATTTTTTTCAGAATAGGCCTTTTAGAAGATACATTTTTGGGGTGTTCAATTGTCATTTCTGTGATTCTTTATCCACCTCTCCTTTTATTTAATTTGTTTTTTACTTTCTAAAACTGTCCTTAATTTTTTCTATCTTCTTGGTTGAGATAGAAGCAAATATTAAAGTATTACTTGATTATCTTTCTCATCCTTTAAGTTTTCTATTTTTAATGTTTTATAATTTACATATCAGTATAAAGGTTGTTGTTGTTAGATGCCATTGAGTCAGTTCTGACTCATAGCGATCCTATGTACAACAGAATGAAACACTGCCCGGTCCTGTGCCATTCTCACAATTGTTGCTGTGTTTAAGCTCGTTGTTGCAGTCACTGTGTCAGTCCGTGTCATTGAGTGTTTTCCTCTTTTGCACAGACCCTCTACTTTACCATGGAAACACTGGTGGTGTAGTGGTTAAGAGCTCTGGCTGCTAACCAAAAGATTGGCAGTTCGAATCCACCAAGTGCTACTTGGAAATCCCATGGGGTAGTTCTACTCTGTCCTGTAGGGTCGCTGTGATTCAGAATTGACTCAGAGGCAATGGGTCTGGTCTGGTCTACTTTACAATGCCTGATGTCCTTTCCCAGGGACTGATCTCTCCTGATAACATGTCCAAAGTATGAGAGACAAAGTCTTACCATGTTTGCTTTTAAGGAGCATTCTGACTGTACTTCTTCCAACACAGATTTCTTTATTCTTCTGGCAGTCCAACACCATAATTCAATTGCAACAATTCTTCTTTGGTCTTCCTTATTCATTGTCCAGCTTTCGCATGCATATGTGGCAGTTGAGAATACATGGCTTGGGTCAGGCACACCTTAGCCCTCAAAGTGACATTCTTGCTTTTTAACACTTGAAAGAGGTCTTTTGCAGCAGATTTGCCCAATGCAGTATGTCATTTGATTTCTTGATTGCTGCTTCCATGGGTGTTGATTATGGATCCAAGTAAAATGAAATCCTTGACAACTTCAATCTTTTCTCCATTTATCATGATGTTGCTTATTGGTC